ACCCATCTATTCTCTGCCTCCCAAGTCCCAGCTTCCTTCTTCCTTCTTGGCTGGGTCTTCTTTTGTTGCCCTGCACAGGAGAATGGATCTGGAAAGCAGGTTAGTGGAGTGAGGAGGGAATGGGGATTTTGCAGTAATCTTCCCCTGCCATGCACACCAAGCCACGCCCACCAAGTCACACCACGCCAACCAAGCACACCGACAGAACTGGTAGTAAAAAAAATTGTATCCCACCACTGAGTCATAGGGCTGGTTAGTCTTCTGAAAACCTTTCCTTCCCCTCTTAACCAATTTTAATCTCTTGCCCCCTCTTAAATGTTTCAATAATTTGATTTTTTTTAACTTTTATACACGTTGTTTTATATTTTAACATTTTATTGTACACAACCCAGGGTCCCACTTTGAGGTGGGCAAGATTGGAAGGTCAGAAATGTGAATACATAAAATAATAAACAGAATGTGTTGGTAGTGCAAGGATGAGTTATAGGATTTCTGCAGAATGCAGGGTGAGCAATTACCTATGGCTGCCATGTGCCCAATGGGGACTATTCAACATGTCCCAAAGCCTTTATGTAGTGTGCTTTCCACATATTAATTGGAGTCTATGAAATGCATTGGAGCTTTTAATCAGAGCTATAGCTTGGTGTTTTTCTCTTCATTTTTGGTTTACTTTTACAACATAAGAAATTATGTCCCAGCTGTTTCTTTTATTTCATTTCATAGCAGGATTGTAGGAAGCCAGAGGAAACGAAGAGATAATGGCAGTCCTATTTTACCTATTCTCTCTGAAGCCTCACCAGATCTAATTAAACCAATGTTCCTTGTTGGTATTGCCAAAGCAGAACAACTCAGCTTGTCTTCTGGAACACAAGGACGTCACAATATTTGCAGGTCCAATCGTGAAACCTAAATCTTTTTTAAAATTTGTAATGAAACCCAATCTCTGGAAACCAAGATTCCAGCGTGAATGACATACAGAGAAAGAGAGACGGAGAGATAAAAAATACATGCTTTAAGGTTATAGATCTTCGTTAGGGATGAGGGAATAAAGAATATACATGTTTAGAATAAATCAAATAAAAGCAAGATTTTTCTCCTTTTTCTACATTGACTTTGGATGCTGTTGCATTAGACAGAAGAGGGGAAAAAAATCTCATGTAATAAACAGAACTCCTTGCTGTTCAAAGGAAGCTGGCTTATGCAAATATCTGCTCAAAAGAGGTTGTGTTATGCAAATATCTGCTAGGAAACATAAATCATTTATACCGGAGTGCAAATATCAACAATGATTTGAGAACACTGGATCTGAATCCTGGCATTTGTTGCTGTTGTGTTGGCAGTTACAATTTAATTGTAGAGAATACTCTGTGCAATGACCTTGGGAAGATACAGAACAACCCGTGATGAAGAATGACTACCAAAGAGAAACTGTTATTACTATACGCAAATCAATATGACAATGTTGCCTTGTGTTCCTAATGAAATTGTAAAGCAACAACTGGGGAAAAAAAGAACTATACGTTCTGACAGCCACAATAATATTGAGAGATTAAGCGTGGACATTTTGGCAGGAGACAAACAAGGGTGGGGGGGAGGAGTGAATGAACAATGGACGCTAGGCAGCAGTGGGATGTAGACATGCACACATACATGCCACACATGCCACAAACACACACACACACACACACACACACATACATTTGATTTGGAAAAATAAATGGCTTACTTTATAAACTTGCTGAGCCTGACACAGGGATTGTTAAGAATCTTTATTATTTCTGCTTAAACTCTGCTTAAGGTGCAAACAGCCAGTCAAACCAAATCTATTTGCTGTAGGTCACCACTGGCTGGGGCTGTTTAACCTGACTTTTTGTTTTCACAGAGATCTGTTTCTGTTTCAAGCACAAACAGATTGCACCACATTCACATTGTGGTTATTGACCCTCTCTTCTACCTGGCTTTGAAGAAGGAGACTGAGCTTGGAAACAGGCCTGCTTCTTTTAGGCTTGGGTGGAGAGGGGTGAATTTCAGCCTATAGTGGTTGCGGAGAACATTCTTTCATAGACATGAGAACCAGGCAAAACATAATCAACAACAACATAATAAAAGAGGTTGGAAGGGACTTGGAGGTCATCTAGCCCAACTGCCCACCAAATTTCAGACAGATGGCCTGCCTGAGGGGCAAGACAAGATAGCATCCCTGGCCATTTCAAATTCAATAATTCAAAATTGTGAAGAGCTTCAGGGTTCTTCAAAGAGCACATTTTCTACTCTGCTTGGAGGCAGTGGCGTAATTGTGGGAACAGGGCAGTTGTGGGAATGTGGCAGACGCCACGTTCAGTTCAATTTCTTCTCCTGCCTTTCCCTGCATCTCTCTGCCTGGCCATTGCTGGTCACCTGAGAAAATTGCCTTGCTCTGCCTCATTAGCATGACTGGCACTGGGGTAAAAGGCTTCAGAACCACATTGTTCTGACCCAAGCCTTGTTCAAATCAAACAAACACAAAGTATGTATAAAAGCAAACCTTTTAATGTGATGCTGTGAATTCTGTGCATTCACAGCCAAGAATCATTCAAAGCTAATTGTTCCAGATAAGAGCAAGTCCTTTCAAGGCTGTGAAAGCTGCCAAAAACAAAAGACTAAATGCAGATAAATATCCCAGAAGTTTCAAATAAGTCAGAAGCTTCAAAAAACAAACCGGAATAAGCAGGACTTCAACAAGGACTCTGAGCATAAAGAACTTCTTTGCTTCCTGCAAAGAAGCCAACCCTGAAGGCTGGCTTTTATCCCTTATAGGAGGGGCCATCACCTTCCAGCCTTACTCCCTAGTCTCCTGTGCTGCTTCAGCTGCTCTTTTCTTCAAGCAGCCATGTGCACACGCGCATTGAGCACAGGCTCCCTGGGGTCCTCTTCGTCACTGCTGCCAGACTCCACAACCTCTGAAGGCAGCACCCCACTCTCTGATAGTCCTGGGCCCATCCCTGCATCACATGAAGGCCACTCATCCAAGTTCTTACTCTCAGAGATCGCTGCCATCCACACCTGCTGCTGGCGAACAACAACACACATCCTTTGGGGTTCTTTTCTCACAAACAACCATTTCACAAACACATGGCACAACATAGGACAACAAATCCATCAGGGCAAGATTCAGCTGTCCCTCTTCATTTAAAAGACAAAAATTGCTCTTTTGAAGATAGCAAAGTCCACATTTGTACAGAGAGGAGTGCTGGTTTGAAAGAGGGGTCAAAGAAGCCATCTATGTCAACATTGAACATCCCTCTCTCAACAGAGGGGGAGGGATATGACATCATCTATCTCCAGTCTACAACACAGTCCTTTCAACAGTTCCAAGAAGGCTCCACACCTTATGATTATTCTGAACTGATACGAAGGATTCCAAGTGTGTGGGGGGTCTGTTTTGGGCCTGGAGCTTTGTCATTTGTACATAAATGACCTGGTGTTAAGTTTGAGCAATTTAATGATGATTCAGTTTGCTGATGATATGGCATGGTAAAAAA